TGGTCTCCTCCAATCATTCCATTTCCCCAGATAAGAAACCTGGGAGCCTTGACTCAGAGAATCACTCCGCTTGGAAAGGTCATCTGCTAATGCTGAAGTGTGCAAGGAAGTGTCTGCCACGATTAGGTTGATGCATAAGCTCGCAGTGTTTGCTTTTGACATGGCAACACGGCAGTGTTGGGAGTTTACTGTTTGCCATTTGTCATTTGGAGTGGCAAGGCTATATTTGTGAATACGCCTTGCATTTTGCAGATTTGAAGAAAGTTAGTGCTATTTGTGGGCTAAAGAAGTTGGAGTGCCAAGTAAAAAAAAATGAACACTTACAACATACTTTGCTGTTTGAGTTTAACAGAGGAGTAAAGGCAGCGGAGGTGGCTTGAAACTTTGTGCTGTGTACAGGGAGAATGCCATCAGGGAAATCATGGCAAGAATATGGTTTTGTTGACCGGGTTTGGTGGCTCAGCCTGTAATCTCAGCACTTTGGGAGGCTGAGGTGAGTGGATTGCCTGAGCCCACAGGTTCGAGACCAGCTCAGGCAACTTGGTGAGACCTCATCTCTACAATAAATAAAAAAATTAGCCAGGCGTGATAGTGCATGCCTGTAGTTCCAGCTACTTGGAAGGCTGAGGTGGAAGGTTCACCGGAGCCCAGTGGGTCGAAGAAAGAAAAAGAAAATGGTAAGCTGGGCTCGGTGGCTCAGCCTGTAATCCTGCGCTTTGGGAGGCTGAGGTGAGTGGATTGCCTGAGCCCGCGGGTTCAAGACCCGCCTAGGCAACTTGGTGAGACCTCATCTATACAATAAATCAAAAAATCAGCCGGGCGTGGTAGCACATGCCTGTAATTCCAACTTCTCGGAAGGCTGAGGCGGAAGGATCGCCGGAGCCCAGAAGGTCGAGGTTGCAGTGGCCAGGAGCAGCCACTGCACTCTAGTCTGGGCAACAGAGTGAGATTCCAACTCAAAAAAAAAGAAAAAAAAGAAAAAAAAGAAAATGGTTTTGTCATTTCAAAGAGGGCCACTTTGACCTGAGTGATTCTCCACATTCAGGAAGACCATCGGGCTTTGATGAAGACTGATTAAACACTTTAATCCATGTTAATCCACATCAGTCAACCCGAAAATTGGCAAATGTGATGAACAGTGACCATTCAACCATCATGCGACATTCGCATTCCATGGCCAAGTGAAAAAGGCTACGAACTTAGGCATCCACCCAATACATTCTGACAACTGAGATCTGCTCTTGGTTTTACATTCTAAAAGGAAGAGAACTTTTTTTTTTTTAGTTGGACTCTCACTCTGTCACCCAAGCTGGCGTGCAGTGCACATGCTTATAGCCACCGCAGCCTCAACCTGCTAGGCTTAGGTGATCCTTCTGCCTTGACCTTCCAAGCAGCTGGAATTACAGGCATGCACCACCATGCCCAGCTAATTCTTTGATTTATTGTAGAGATGAGGTCTGGGCAAGTTGCTCAGGCTTGTCTCCAGCCCATGGGCTCAGGTAATCCTCTCAGTTTGGCCTCCCAAAGTGCTGGGATTATAGGCATGAGCCACTGTGCCCAGCCGAGAAGAGAACTTCTTAAGGCTTCATGACCTGCCTGAAAGTTTCATGCGATAAAATAAAAGATCTGGGCCGGGCTCGGTGGCTCAAGCCTATAATCCCAGCACCTTGGGAGGCTGAGGCAAAAGGATAGGCTGAGCTCGCAGGTTTGAGATCAGCCTGGGCAACATGATTAGACCTTGTCTCTACAACAAATCAAAAAATTACCTGGGTGTGGTAGCTCACATCTGTAGTTACTTGGAAAGCTGAGGCAGAAAGATCGCCTGAGCCTAGCAAGCCTAGGCTGCGGTGGCCGGGAGCATGCCACTGCACTCCAGCCTGGGCGACAGAGTGAGACTCCAACTCAAAAATAAAAAATAAAAAAAATAAAAATAAAAGACCTGTAAGACTCTGAGAAAGCAGAAAATAAAATCCAGAGGGACTGAACCTGAGCAAGAAGACAGTTTTCTAGAGACTAACCCACCCTCCCGTCTAATACAACTCACCAGGTTAAACGGAAGTTCTGGTGGATGAGGCTGAATTCACAAACTTCCGGAGCCCACAGATCTCAGAAAAAGTCATATGACCCAGGAGATAAAGTGCCCTAGTTTGCTCAGGACTGAGGGGTTTGCCCAGGATGTGAGACTTTCAGTGCTCAAACAGGGAACATTTGTATGACTGATTCTTACGTTTTCATGACTGGTCCACAGAGGTGGGTTGTGGTGGACCCTCCTCTGGGACCTCCCAGCATCCATCCTCCACTTCATCCTCTCTTATCATACCAGAATTTTCCAGCCATCAGAAGTTGGGTAACGCTGATCCCACTTCTGAGAGGGGTAGTGATGAACAATTACATCCTTGACCTGGGGGGCCACAGACAGAATTCAGGGGCTCCATGAACTCATATAGGAAAGTAATTGCATCTTTATTTTCACACAAAACTCCCACTGAAATGTATAGTTTTCTTCAACTATTAGTACAGGTAACAAACCATAGTCATATTAGCAGTACATGAGTCTTTATCACATGACATCACAGACATTCATATATATCACATGACAGTTGTTGCAGACATCTCAAAAATAAGGAAATTATTACATTTTCTGCTGAACACATGTGATCGAAGTATTTTGATCTGATGCCCCTGCAATGTTGCTGGCCTATATTGATCAACCCTGTGCCCAGCAGATGTTCAGCCATGGATGGTGATGTCTCATGCTCTCACACTGGTGACCTAGACATATTAATTACTTTCCAGGACCCCTTATCCACATGGCTTGTTAATCAGTAAGTGGAAGGAGGTGAGTCAAGGAGAGTCAAAGAGCATCTCACAGTTTAACATTCTTCTTTTGTTTTTTTTTTTTTTGAGTTGAAGTCTCACTCTGTTGCCCAGACTGGAGAACAGTGACTACTCCCGGCCACCGCAGCCTCGACCTGCTGGGCTCTGGCGATCCTTCTGCCTCAGCCTTCCAAGTAGCTGGAACTACAAGGCGCGCGCTACCACGCCCGGCTGATCTTTGATTTATTGTAGAGATGGGCTCAGGCAATCCACTCACCTCAGCCTCCCAAAGCATGGGATTACAGGCTGAGCCACCGAGCCCAGCTCAGTTTAACATTCTTATTAAAGCTAAGCAACAACTACTCTCACTGATGTGCCATTTTAAAATAAAATTAAAGGTTAGGCGCAGAGGCTCATGCCTGAAATCTCAGCACTTTGGGAGGCCAAAGTGGGAGGACTAATTGAGCCCAGGAGTTGGGAACCAGCCTGAGCAATATAGTGAGATCTCATCTCGGCAAAAAATAAAAAAAATTAGCCAGGCCTGGTGGTGTGCACCTGTAGTCCCAGTTACACAGGAGGATCACCTGAGCCCAGGAGGCTGAGGTTGCAGTGAGCCATGATCATGCCACTGCACTCCAGCCTCAACAGAGTGAGACCCCCAACTCAAATAAATAATAAGATTAAAACTTTGACTTGCCCATATCTAAAATGTATTGTCTTTTTAATAATGTGTTTTTGTATACTACTATGTCATAAGTTTGTTTGTTATTTTGATAACTGCATTTCAATAGACTGTTTCCTTAATCTTGTATAGTTTGCTCTGCTCATTTGAAAACATTCTCAGCTGGGCTCGTGGCTCTGCCTGTAATCATAGCACTTTGGGAGGCCGAAGCCAGTGGATTGCCTGAGCCCATGGTTTCAAGACCAGGCCCGGGCAACTTGGCAAGACCTCATTTCTACAATAAACAAAAAATTAGCTGGGTGTGGTGATAGGGTTTGTAGGGGAATGGGAGAGGAGGTTGTAGTTAAAACAACTCATCATATAAATTTCCCAAATGGAGCACAGAGTTGCAATGGCCCAAAAGCTAACACTGTGCTCTAACAGCATCCTGTTACTAATTGCTTTACTGCTAATATCTGCTTTCCCTGAGACTGCATCCCAAAGCTATGTGACTGATAACAGCCTGGTACTGTGAGTGTTTGCTTTCCTAAGCCTGCATTTCAGAGACAAGTGTGACTGGTTTAGTGCAGACATCTACACTCCAAAGCCATGAGAACAGTCTTCAACAGTACCGACACCTACATTTGAAGGCCAGACGATCAACAGCTCAAACTTCCAAAACCACTTCTTGGTTCCCAATCCAAAACTCCCTAAAATTGCTTCTCAAAGTCCAATGAGCCAAGACTGGGGTTTTATAAATGGCCTACAAAAGAACAAAGACCACTTTGTTTCTCTCTGTAGAGCCAACACCCCCCTTTTCTTTTCTTTGATAAACTTTTAACCACCCGTGGCTCGTCTCTTCCTTCTCAGCATACGTTACATGTAGTAGTGTGCACCAGTAGTTCTAGTTAATTGGAAGGCTGAGGCAAAAGGATCCCTGGAGCCCAGCAGGTCAATGCTGGGATGATTGTGAGTATGCATGCCACTGCACTCCAGCCTGGGCACCAAAGTGAGACTCCAACTCAAAAAAAAAAAATTCTCACCTGTTACCTAAATTTGAATTGTACCCACATCTTTAAAATAAAAAATAAATTTTAATAAATAAAATAAAACAAATTCTGAGAAGGGATCTTCAGGCCTCCCTGAAGGTAATCAGAAGCCACAGCACAGAAAACATTAAGAACCGCTGGCAGACAGCTGGGCATGGTGGCTCATGCCTATAATCCTAGCACTTTGGGAAGCAGAGGCAGGAGGATTGCCTGAGCCCAGGGGTTTGAAACCAGCCTGGGCAATTTGGCAAGACCTTGCCTCTACAATAAATTTTTTAAATAATTAACCAGCTTGGGCACACCTATGGTTCCAGCTACTAGGAAGGCTGAGGCAGACGGATAGCCCGAGCCCAGCCGGTAGAGGCTGCGGTGGCCATGAGCATGCCACTGCATTCCAGCCTGGGGGACAGAGTGAGACTCTGACTCAAAAAAAGATTAAAAAAAGAAGAACCACTTTTCCGGACCTGGCCAAGGAGGAGGCACCGTCATAGGAGTTGACATCTGCCACAAGGACCAAAAGTTTCGGTGCAAAGAGTCCAAGAGCCAGGACATCTACCTGAGGCTGCTGGTCAAGCTGTACAGGTTTCTGGTTCTGGAGAACCAACTCCACATTCAACTAGGTTGTGCTGAAGAGATTGTTTATGGATCACAGCAACCTGCCACTTTTGTCCCATTCCCAGATGATCTGGAAGATGAAACCTTCCTGGCCAGGAAAACAAGATGGCAGTGGTGGAGGGACCTTAACAGATGACGTGTGGGTTCAAGAGGTGCCCAAACTGAAGGTATGTGCACTGCGTGTGAGCAGCTGGGCCCGCAGCCACATCCTCCAGGCAGGGCGCAAGATCCTCACCTTCGACCAGCTGACCCCGGACTCCCCCAAGGGCCATGGCACCATCCTGCTCTCTAGTCCTCAGAAGGTCCAGGATGTATATAGGCATTTTGGGAAGGTCCCAGGAACCCTGCACAGCCACACCAAACCCTACGTCCACTCCAAGAGCCAGAAGTTCAGGCATGCAGAAGTTGGTGGGCCAACTGCAGCTACAAAAACTAACCCTGGATCCTGTCCTCTTATTAAAAAGATTTTAGATGCCCTCATTAAAAAGATTTTGGACGAAGAAGAAGAAGGAGAAGGAGAAGGAGAAGGAGAAGGAGAAGGAGAAGGAGAAGGAGAAGAAGAAGAAGAAGAAGAAGAAGAAGAAGAAGAAGAAGAACCACCGCTGATTTTCTCCATCTTCCCAGCTTGTTTTATTTTTATTACTTTTATTTTATTATTTGCTATTTTATTTCTGTTTTGTTTATTTTTGTAGTATTTCTCACCTTTTAATATACTTTATATTCTGTATTTTAAAATCATCTGTTCATCGCCACTAAAAAATGAAATCTATGAGGACATGAAATTTGGTCTGTTTTGTTCACTGCCATACTCTCTAGGATGTAGAAAAAATGCCTACTATGTGTCAGCATTTAAGAAGGACCTGTTGAAAGAATGAACAAGTGAACATGTATAACATACATAATAGCTCTCCTGGATGTATTGTGAGGAGGAGTTGGAGACTGACAAAACACTGTGAGGTTTTATAATTCTAAATATTCTTTAATAGGCCAGGCGTGGTAGCCCACACCTATAATCCCAACAGAGAATCCTCCAGGCAGGAGAATCCTTTGAGTACAGGAGCTCAAGACCAGCCTGGGCAACATAGAAAGACCTTGTCTCAAGAAAGGAAGAAAGAAAGAAAAAGGAAGGAAGGAAGGAAGGAAGGAAGGAAGGAAGGAAGGAAGAAAGGAAGGAAAGAAGGAAAGAAGGAAGGAAGGAAGGAAGGAAAATATATTTTAAAATATTCATTAAGACAGGCATGGTAGCTTATACTTGTAATCCCAGCACTTTGGAAGGCCTGAGCCCAAGGGTTCGAGATCAACCTGGACAACTTGGCAAGACCTCATTCTACAATTAAAATTTAGGAAATTAGCTGGGCATGGTGGCACATGCCTATAGTTCCAGCTACTTAGGCAGAAGGATCATCTGAGCCCAACTGGTTGAGTCTGTGGTGGACATGATCATGCCACTGCACGCCAGTTTGGGGGACAGAGTAAGACTCTGATTTCTAAAAAATAATAATTCCTTAAGACCTCAGAATTACCTGAGAATTTAACAAGACAAGTTATACAAAGAGCTTATCACCATGCCTGACACTAAGTGACTCAGTAAATAGTAACAATTATTATGTAGCGTGGTGTTTGTTATAAGTCTGTAGATTTAGTCATAAAGTCCTGAATTTAAAATTAAGGAAAAAAATAAAGCCAACATCAGAGAAGTCAGACTAGGGATGTGACAAGAAATTGGGCTCTTGGAGACACTGTCAAGCAACTTGATCAAGTCTCATCTTGTTGCTGGGTGGAGTGTGGTATGATACTCTGTGAGTTCTTTGACCTGCCACAGAAAGGAATTTCAGAGTGATCCATTATAATTTTTTTTTTTTTTTTTTTTTG